TAGCTGATTCTACAAGTGCATTGCGTTTCAGGCTGCAAAATGGCGCGTCCCAAAGTCGCTGGGAGGCAGGATCCATCGGGACGTCGGTGTCAGGGCAGGCTGCACTCCGGGCTGCTACGGCTTCATCTAGAAGCGAGAACAAGGTCACGCTCAAAGGACGCCCAAGTTTTTTCGCAACGAGTGGTTCGGTAGACTGTATGGAAGAAATGAAGGCCGGGAGGGAGACGTCCGAAGTGTTGCGTACACCCAATCCACCGAACCTAACTGGGAGTGATGCTTGGGTCCAGGAACGGAGGTCAAATTTTGTATTTAAGACAGAGGAGAGAGTATGTCTTATGAAACCTCCAACTTTGTTAAGAGAGAGGGAAATTTCCAAAGTGGACAGCATCGCAAGACATACGTAAATTTAGGGACGAAAAGACAGTACCGGATTATGACGTAGGCCATTTGGCAGATAATTTTGAGTAAAGGTTCAAAAACTTCTTCATATTTTTTTAAATTTTGATCTACAAAATCTGGGAGTGATTCATCAAAAATCGGGGACCCTAAGAGGCAAAGTGATTTCTTATCTAACAGTCTTATGCTTGGAGCTATTAGATGGAATTCAGAAATGATTGCATCCCTGTTGTCGAGGCTTTCTGGAACAAAAATCTGGCATTTTGCAAAATTTAGTTCCAGGCCTATTTTGCTGAACTCGTTTTTAAGCATAAGAAAATCAGAGAGGACTGTGGTCACGTCGCCTCCTAGGGTGCCATCATCAAGATACCACATATTTAATTTAGAATTTAGATGGTCGATGATTGGGTGTATTGCCAGGCTAAAAATGGCTGGGCCGAGAGGGTCACCCTGCTGGCATCCGACTGAGGAGGACAGGAGGTAGTCTTTATAAAAAAGTTTTGATGGTTTGCTGTAGCACTGCTACATAAAGTTATATGGAGCTGGAGCCCTCAGTCTGATTTGTGACAGCATGGTGCCCCTATCAACGGTATTGAAAGCGTTTTTGACGTCGACTTTTAAAATTACCTCACCACCCTTGGACTCTGCAAAGGCTCGGAGAGAATGTACGGCAGCCTCGCAGCCGCCTTTAGAGCCAAACCCGAGTTGTATAGGCTGGAAATAAGTCCCGAGCGTATCCGCTGTAGCTTTGCAGCAGATCTTAGCTACGAGACGATATGTCGAACCTACTGCGATGGGGCGGATGCCGCCGTCTTTTTTTTTAAGGGCGCATAATTTGTCTCCATATAGTAGGTCGACGATATCGGTGGCAACTTTCCCCCATTCAGCATCAAATTGCACAGTGAGGTAATGGCTTCAAGCAGAGACTCACCGGCTTCACCACAGCATCCACTGGTAAGGTCCTTAAGGTGCTGTGGGGATAGGCCATCAAGGCCGCCCGCTGATCCTGGAAGAAAGTGCAAAGCGGACGGCATCTTTGGACGTTTGAAGCGGTTGGTCCGCGAGGCCAGGTGCAGTGGGGAAAGTCACGTCGGAGGCTGGGGACGGGTGTTTGGCTTGCAGCGCAGAGAGAGTCTCTGGAGAGTCCGGTGCCACCGCATCGTTAGAAAATAATAAACGCGCAGCACCCTTAATGTCGCCATCACTTATCTTATTTTCTATATATTTTAATGGGTTACGAATTGATGTTGGGGAGTAGGAAACTGGGGATTGGAATAAGGTCGGATTTAGGTTGGTACTGCAATTGCGTTTAATAAGTGTCGTGAGCGACAAATCGCGGTCCGTGCCTTTTTCGATATGAAGGATACGAAAGGGAAAGGTTAGTAAACGAATGAGTTTAGTCAGGTTTTGGGCGACGGTAACTCTTGCACCCCTTAGGATACGTTTTAGCACTGGGACAAGTTGTTTCAGATGGGTGATTTGGAGCCAAAATGGTTCGGATATGTGTAAATTTTGTTGCGGACATGGATGGGGAACAGGTAAAGAGGCTGGTACTGAGCTATGTATATTTAGAGGTTTATGGCATTTACCAATGTGGATACGTAAGCCTCTCTCACCTTTGAAAAACCGGGGCTGCGCGCAGAGTCTGCACTGGACATGGTTCTCTAGTGATGCGTTGGCAGTAGAAGTTCCTGCGCCTTGGCTTTGCATATAATTTATCACTAATTCACTTATAAACTATTTAAATTAACAGAATTTGTAAAAAAAACAGTACTATAAAAATAAAATACAATAGAATTGGCGATTGTCAGTTTTGGCAGCAGCAGCGGTGCGCAGACTGACACCGCGCATCTTGAAGGCTGCGCGCGCAGGACGACTCCGTAGAGTTATATCTTCTGGAACTATGTAGTAACTAGGCGACCTGGTATAACGCTTATGGTCTCCAGGGCGACCCTATGGCGTCGTGGCTGTCAAGTAGAGCAGCGCTGATCAGCAGATTGTTTGAATATTATGGGACCAAAACACACCGCACGACACCGTCCACACACTCTGGGCAAGAGTTGGCCCCAACGAACGCCAGCCACGGGTTCTTAGTGCCTTTGAATAGGTCGCACTATTTTTATTTAATTAAAATTTATGCGCATGTGTGTTGTCAAACATCCACCATTTCTTTTTGAAGTTATACTTCTTTAGGCGCGTTATGAAAAAATGATGAGAGTGAAATTTTAAGATGCGCGCGCATCACTGTAACACAAAATATTAACAGCATGAAGTTGGTCGCTTTAGCGACCAACTTCATGCTGTTACTTTTGTGTTTACCGCACATTAAGAAAATTTACCAACAAAATAGAAATAGAATCTCTATTTAGTGGGTGCTAACGACTGCAATGTGAAGGCCTATCAAAAGTATTTATTAATCTGGAACAACGGAACCAAAGCGCGATTCAGGAGACTACAGCGCCATCTCTTGACCATTCGTGTAGTAGGACCAAAAACTACATCTTTATTTTTAGTAATAAAGTAACAGTTATAGGTATTCATATTTATAATATCAAAAGTATTTATTAATCTGGAACAACGGAACCAAAGCGCGATTCAGGAGACTACAGCGCCATCTCTTGACCATTGGTGTAGTAGAACCAAAAACCACATCTATATTTTTTGTAATAAAGTAACAGTTATAGGTATTTATATTTATAATATTTATCCACATGTTTCTAGTTTGTATATTCGGAATACGTGTTTGAGTTTCATACAAGTGCAAATCACATATTTTCTAATGAATTATATTCAGTAGCGATTTTAATTGAATATTTTGATTATTTATTTATTTTTTCAAATTAAAACTGAACTTTATGGACTGTGTCCTTTTCCAGACTTTTTATTAATTTATTGTAATTAATTATTTGCATGCAATTAAAAACTAATTTTAACGATGCCAAAGAAGGATAACTTCTCACGCGCCTACTTAAGTACACGCACCCATTTTTTTTTATTATTGTAATGCGATTCAAATAGTAATAGGAAAGCCAATGACCTCCATCTGTCAAATGTCGCTTTAAAAGTATGGTTTGCAAAAAAATCTCGGCACACTTTTTTAGCACTCAGGTAATTCTAGAATAAAACCAAACATTTTAAACAAACAATAACAAATATTGATAATTAATAATCAATATTGAGACAAGATGGGATGATGATATTCGTAGGCTGGCTGGAGTGGGCTGGATGAGAGTAGCACAAAATCGGGAGCAGTGGCGTGCATTAGGGGAGACCTATGTCCAGCAGTGGACGAACATGGGTTGATGATGATAATATTGGTTGATATTTTTTTTCTTTTATTGAGCTTTGGCTATGAATGTTATATAACCTAAATCGTCAACAAAATGTCACTTTATGTTGCATTCAGAAACTCGATTTAAAAGTTTCGTTTACATAAAGGATGCATGTTCGTATGTGACCTGCATGATTATTCATAACTACTCCGGCGGTAAGGCAGAGATGAGAATTTTGTATGGACAATGACATTTCGCACCCGCAAACTATTCGAATTCGATAATGGTTCTTGCTAAGGGTATTATACAATGGATAGGAGTACCTTTATGTATATTTTTTTATTTTTGGTTGACTCAAATAAAGTTATGATTTTAAACTAAGGGTAACTAGTTATGGTTTGTTTGTAATAAAATAGTTTAATTAAAAATACGACTTAGTTTTCGTTTTTTCACAAGTAAGTAGCTAATTTAGGAACACCTAGTTAACAACATGAAGAAAGGCTAGAAAACTTATCTGTACTGGTAAGTAGTGATAAATGGAAAAAAATATTCAATTATTCATTATTTAATTATTATATAGGAAAGGTTCTGGAATAGCGACCACGCACCGGACGACGCTCAGTGGGCAGGCCCCCTACAAGGTGGACCGACGATCTTGTGAAGGTCGCGGGAAGCTGATGGATGCGAGTGGCGCAGGACCGATCGGTGTGGAGTTCCTTGGGGGAGGCCTATGCTCAGCAGTGGGCGTCGTACGGCTGACATGATGATGATTCCTACCAATGCGGATAGGCAGGAATAGAAGTAGGGTAGGAAAGATCAAGTTCCATATAATATCCCAACTAGTAGCGATAAATGGAAAAAATACTCAAAGTATCCCTACTAGTGAAGATATGATGTCCAAATAGACGTAAAAGCTCGAAAACTGAATTTGGATTTATAATATTAAAAACTAGTAACACAAAAGATATACCTACATTATAGATATATTGATGTTGATTCTAGCATGATTCTCTAAACCTAAACTTAAATTTGACAGCAGTATATCCTTGTCATTCTCTATACAGAATGAAAAGGAGAGACTGATGTAAAATTTAGTTTTAAGTTTAGAGAATTGCGCCAGAATTGGCACCATTATGTACCTACATGAAAAAATATTGCCGTAGTAAATTTTTCGAGCAATTGAATTTACAAAAATAAGTTCTATTTTTTCGTTATGATTTTATTTATTTTTTAAGCATTTAACTGCTAGATGTTTAAATCTAAAGAAAAGTTTACTAGAAAATAATCCACGCGGACCAGGCCGTCCGCTGCCTGGTACGCGTGGATTTTTTTTCTAGTAAACTTTTCTTTAGGTTCTATTTTTGTATTAGATGTTAAGAACATCTAATAAGAATAAATAAATGAAACAAAAAAATATAAAGCGTCTTTTTCTGACGAGGTGGGGGCGCAGGCTGGGCTTTCGCACCATGGCGCCGAATAAACTTACGATGGCCGTTTGTCCACGACCAAGCACGGAGCGGGTTTTCTCTCCGCGACGGACGTACGTGCTCCCGCATAACGGCCTTTTTATGTGATTCCATATTAACCTTTTATTTATTATATTAATTATCCTTTTTACGTGAAACCCGCCTCACGCAACGCTGCTTTTTGAAATAACATGAAAAAAACACGCAGAGGGGCGACGCCCACTCCGTGCTCCCGCTTAACGCAGAGCGGGCTATTAGGGAGTTAGGTTCAAAAGGTTGTTCACATAAATTATTAACCAAAATAATAGTATTATGTATGTAATGCCATTTTAGTCAATACTGAAATTAAATAAATTTATCTAATAACAACATCATATGAATCTGTGATTGCCTTCTCAATCTCTTTATGTATTGCATTTACTTCAGCTTTTGTTAGAGTTCGTTCTAAATGTCTATACACAATGGTGTAGCATAAACTGTGTTTCTTGGTTTTTGGATGTATGAATTTGTCCTTTAATTTCACCTGAAAAAGAAATAAAAGTTCTGTAAGTGTGTAAACCAAATTGTTCTTTATAGAACTATCTTCTTGTTTTTCTATTATTCTTTGGAAAAATGTCTCAAAATTAAATGTAAATGGTTCTAGAACTTCCAAAAGTACTCAGTTGTTTATTAATTTTGGTGGATATAAAATGTGGTAGATCCATAAAGAGCTTACTTGTTCTATAATATCACCACCAATATCTCGGACTAAATCATAGAAATCATTATTTATGAAAGTATCTACAGTAATATTATTTGGTAGCCAAAATGAAATATCATTCACACACTGTGGGTATATTGACACTGGTTTATAAGTAATCTTTGCATTAACATCCTTATTGTTGAATTGGTTCAAAAAACCAGAATCATTGCTCCACATCAATCTTATGTCTGGTATTTTATACAAAGCCATAGCAAGCCTTTCCAGGCCCAGACCAAAAGCATATGCTATACTGTTATTAGGGCCAGCCCGGGCAAGAATTTCATTTCTAACTATACCGCAGCCCAGGACTTCCATCCATTGGTTCTCATAGTAAATTTCAAGTTCCCAAGATGGATGGGTGAAAGGAAAATAGGCTTCAACCCATCTATATCGGATATCATTTCCAAATAGTGTTTGAACTAATCCTAATAAGTGGGTTTTTAACTGGTTTTCCATTAATTTGGTAGCTTCTAAAGTGTGGCAACTTTGTTTATGAGCATCTGTTGTGCTGTTGGTAAATGCTTCTGGGTATTGTGGATCAAATATTGGTTCAAAGATTTGTAAATCAGGATGGTCTACAAAAAGTTCCTCCTTGCGCTGTGACCTTACTGCGTCTACCTGAAAAGTTATAATATTTTCACTAACCACTTTCAATAAAACTATTGCTTGGGAACAATAGTAATCACTCCCCTTTCACGACCTGTCCCCTACAATTGCCATTTTTTAAATTTCAACCCTGAGAAGAAGAATAATATCCATTCATATTTTCATAATCTATGTAGGTAAGTTTATAGCTGGCATATTCTATTTTGCTTTCACCATTACAATATTGTTAACAAAAATGCCTGTTAATGTCATTTATATTCTAGAACATAAACTTACTTGATGAAATACAGGAAAATGTGTAGAGTCTATCTCATCCCTACGATATACATCTCCAATCATTAGAAAGTTATCTAAGCCAGCATGCAGTAATTCACTTTGATGAGCAGTCATGTGAGCCCTGAACAGCGTTTCTTTATTTAAATAGTAGCAGTCAGATTTTGCTCTGCTAGGATGGTCTAATGGGATAAGTAGGTCATCGAAATTTTGCTTCACACTGACAATTGGGGACAAATTATCGTAAACACTGAACGTAGGATTCCCTCTGTGAGTAAAAGATTTATAGAAATAGTCCACAATCCGCTGGCGAACGTTTGATAAAGGATGTCCTTTTTGTAAATGGAGGTTACGGCCCAAGTAGGAAATTATTTTCGGCGTCGCGTTGGTGAAATTGTCCGATTGATATTCTTTATCGTTTATGTGTAAAGTACAAATAGATTTTGGAGCAGTACTATATTTACACCGATTTGATAGAGCGGCGAAAATGTGGCCGTTTCTGAACAACTTCGTCATTGTTTCGACGTTTTTTCACATAAAGCAAAATAAAAAATTCTGTTTAATATACGCCCATCAATTATATTAATTGCAAATTAATTTCGCTCCATCTTCATAATTCACAACATATAGTTTGTTTTGATTCTTCCCACACCACACCAGCACAGGTTTTTCTTGCATAATCTCTGGGCTACTGGGCTAGGAGATCGTATAGATCATCGTATCGACTCTTTGAGTCGATTTTTGGAGCCAAAAAGATCGATTTTATAAATCGATATGTAGTACTGAATCGATTAAGAGAATTGATATTTCACCAAAAAAGTATTTTACAATTATTTTAATGTACCCGTTATAAGAGTTCTGCCAGTTAAAGGGTAAATTATTAAAAACTCGCGAGATGGCTGCATGTTTGGATTCCTTCACCCCTCTTTAATAAAAAAAAGTAACGTTTGTTTGTAATCATTGAATAAAAATATTTGTTTATTGGGTTTTCACGTACATCACACAATAAATAAAACTAGTTTTATTTAATAAAAATATTTTTTTTATCATCGAATTACTTGATTTTACTGATAACAGATCGTTAAATATGATATGTATCTTGTATTTAATAAAATAGATTTATGTTACATTATAAGCAAAAACTTGAAAAAAGATCGATTTTTCAGAAATCAATCTTATTATAAGTGGATCGATTCATTAGTTCATGTTTTGAATCGATTTAAAAAACGATCTTGTTCGGAAAGAATCGCTATCCCTACTCCGGGCTGCGTTCTGTGGAATTGGAACTAATGAATGCACAGACTAAATTAATGAATGACCGAAATTGAGAATTCACGGCCGAAAAACTAAAAAAATTGAACTGTCAATGTCAATATCACATGTATATTAAAATTAACCTAATCTGTACTGAAAAGTGGATTAAAAATATATTTCTGAATTAAATATTATGAAAAGGATAACTATTTATTCATAAAAAGTATCAAAGACATGTTTCGTAAAAAAATATCGTACATTGCACAGCTGAGCACTGTTGGTTTAGCTGGATATGCGTTAGGACAGTACAACAGCAAAAGTATTGATAATTTAAGTGAAAATTCATTATTGATCAATGGAAAAACTATCAGAAATATGCCTGGCTTACCTATTTTCGGCACAGTATCAGCTGCGGCTCCTTATACTGATGGTGGGATTGTTAAAGACAGGGTGAGAAAATATGCGTATTTCCTCAGATTACAGAACAAAAGGTCTAACTATGTACATAATTCAGTAAAATATATTTCTTATCATGGCTTACCTAGTTAAAGAGTTTTAAAAATTTCTCTAAATTCATAGTAATTCATAAAGTCCGGAATATATTGTTCTCTAACCCTAAAGTTAAATTTAACAAATCTGTTTTTATGACATGGCAGTGAACTCAATTGTAAATTGTTGGAAAAAAACTTGAATTTATTTTATCCTTGTTTTTTTTAAACAATAATTAGTATACAGTGCAACCTTAATATAACATACCTCTTTATAACAACTTCCTTGCTTTAACAAATTCTTTGTAATCCCTTTGAATTTTCCATAAGAGTAAATGTAAAATAAACCTTTACAATGAGAAAAAAAATTGCGAACAACCCCTTTATAACAAATTTTCAACTAAGAAGAAAAGAGTAAATACCTCTATAACAAATTTTGTATAACATTTCCATCAATATATTGCCCTTAATCCAATGGTATGTGATTCATGTCACATCAGGAAACTATTTTTTTACTTCTTAATAACAAATTTAAGACCAGACCTCAGTTTAAAGAATTACTCAATATAACAAATATTTACTTGTTTCCTTCTAATTTGATATATCGAGGTTGCACTCTAATTTAAAATGACATAGTTATTGATTGGCTATCGGCAAGTTAATTTATGGAATGTTTGTTGCCAAAGCATCAAATATATTCTATTCAACAGTATTTTGTGGGTATTTAATTTCAAGAAAAATCTATCTAAAATTGGTATAATTTGAAGAATATCAGGCATAACCTAGTCAGGTAAAATTTCAATCAGTCGATTGAAATTTTACAGTTATTGAGTTAACATTAATAAACTGCTATAGACTAAAAATATGACGTTACTACAGGGTGGCCAGCATCCAGGAAATTGTTAAATTTTTAAACACGATTTTAAATTAATTGTAGATAAATTAAAAATTATAAATATCTGTTAATGTTATTACATAAACAAATTCTCAAATACTATATGTTTCATCGTATCATCGCTGCCGGAAACTGACTACCACATTTAAATTGAGATCTAGTGAATCATGCCAGTATCAGACCCACATGTAGTGCTTAATCTTTTAATATTTTTATAGACAATTACTACATCAGTGTGAGGAAACAACAGCAATGATATTTTTTTTCCAGATATCTCAAATAATGAAATATGGATTTCCTGGCTTAGATAATGTGAGGTCATATGATGATTTTGTTTTGTCATATGATCGCCGCAATAGAGTTCCTCATTGGGTCTTTGAACATTTAACCAAAGCACATGTAACTAAAAATGACCAAGTTGACCGAAGCAAATGTGATTTTAAGCCAGATGAAAGTATTCATCCATTCTTCAGGTATGTTATTAAAAATCTAAAATTAATGCGGGTAAAGTCATGGGAGGTCCAGTAACTTTGGTTTAAATAAACTAGCCTCTGTTCTATTTGACTTCTTCTATTGCTTCTGCAATACCAAATGAAATGTGTTGACTGTTGCACACCTGAGCTCCTTTATATAAAGATGGTAGGTACAGATACAGTACATACATACATACATATACATAAGTACTTACATACGTATACATAAGTACTTACATACAAAAATACTTATTATTAGCCCATAGAATAATCATCATCCAACTTATTTTATAAATGCGAAAAAGAGTTCGTTATTCAATCACGCAAAAACGGTTGAAAGGATTTAGACCCTGCGTTGCTCTAAGTGGGAGCATGGAGCGGGCATACGCTACGCCTCCATGAAATGATATAAAAACTGCATGCGGATGGACTCCTGGTTCGTGATGAAATTTGGCACACATATAGTTCATTACATAGATTGAGACATAGGTAGGACTTTTATTGCTACAAAATATTATTCAAAAAGTTACGATAACGCGGACGAAGTCGCAGGCGGCCGCTAGTTATTTATATTTGTAAATTATTATTCTTTTTAGTAACCACACACTGTAATTGTGGTACATTTTGCATTAGTTGTCTTTCAGAGATTTCGGGAAATAAAAGTGACACATGTGAATGCCAATGCCAAGTTTTTAATTCTTCCATCTTTCTATAAAGTGTTGATTATTAGCCATACCATAGTACTCCAGTAATCATGGGAAGGGTTTATGATTGTACCTTAAAACCTTAATAGTATAAAAAAATTGCCTACAGGTCTCAAAACAGTGACTACAAAGGGTCTGGTTTTGACCGTGGTCATATGGCCGCTGCTGGCAACCACCGAATCACACAGAAACACGTTGACCAGACCTTCTATTTAACAAATATGGCGCCACAGGTATTTACATTTGCCGTTTAGCTCTAAAATCAGTTTATGAATGAATGAACTTAATAAAATAAACCACCAAAAAGTAAAAAATAATACATATTCTTTATTATGAATTATTAGGTACCTACTTTTTGGTGGTTTTTGTTATTAAGAATCGGTTATTATGTTTTGTTAATTTATTTTTTCTTTTTTCCTTTTTATAAGCCAGAGCAACATCAACATATTAAATATAGATTTCTGACCTGAGATCTATCTTTCATATTCCGTAAAATAACCAAACACGATATGTATACTGTTCGTATTTTAAGTTGTGTACCTCCGAAAGTATTTATCAGATCTTCGCCAAATTAATATGGAATCATCTCGCTAACAAACTCTTCCAAACAGTAAAAGAATCATCGAAATCGGTCAACAAACCTCGGAGATATCGAACAACAATAAAAAAAGCGAATGTGCTTATGACCACACGACTGAAGTGAAACTTCTTTAGCTCCAATGATTTGAAAATCATAAACTTAACCTGAAGATTTGTTGATAGAAGAAAAACCACCAATCCGCGTTGGGTCCATTATCACCCTCCAATCCGCACTGGGTCCATTATCACCCATCAATCCGCGCTGGGTTCGTTATCACCCACCAATCCGCACTGGGTACGTTATCATCCACCAATCCGCACATCCCCCAAGTCAAGCGTGCCTAAAGAAGTTTTACTTAAAAATATATATAATGACGAAGACGAATTGAGAACCTCCTAATTTTGGAAGTCGGTTAAAAATGAATGAAGTAAGATAATAAATTATGAAGTTTGTTTTCATTCATTATTTAACAAAGAGTTTATGAGTGAAATGTGCGGCGAAAAAATTTGGGCGTTGTAAGTAACCTCTACGCTACTCCACTTCTTTTACTCCTTTTGTGATCTACTATATAAAGTTTAAACAAGGGTCAATGGTGTCGATTCTGACATGATTCTCTAAACCTAAACTTAAATTTGACAACAGTGTATCCTTGTCATTCTCTATACAAAATGAAAAGGAGAGACTGATGATAAATTTACTTTTAAGTTTAGAGAATCTTGACAGAATCGACACCAATGTGGCATGTGCTAATCCATTTCGCACATGTCAAAGGGGATTGCCGTGGAGTAAAATAAAAGTCCAGCCCCAGAAAGCAGAGGCGTATTTTGAAAACCGGCGCCCCTGGTCATTTTCGATTTGCACCCTCCCCCTCAAATCAAAATATGGGATTTATATGTTTTCTGTGACCACTCGCAGATTTTCCAGGCGCCCTCGGTTATGGCCCTCTTGGCCCTAGGGCCTAGGGTAAATACGCTAATGGTGTCGATTCTGACTGGATTCTCTAAACTTAAAACTAAATTTAACATCAGTCTGTCCTTTTCATTCTGTATAGAGAATGACATAGATACACTGTTGTAAAATTTAAGTTTAGCTTTAGAGAATCATGGCAGAATCGACACCACTGTGTTATTCTCATTTGAATAAGGTGTTATTTTAGGTCGGGCAAGGTTTCAACAGGGACGCGTGGAACAGTCTCGAGAAGCATGTTAGGAAGCTGACTAAAGTATATGACAACGTTTATTGTTGCACTGGGCCTTTATATTTGCCAAGGTAATATTAATATCGTTATATTTATTCAAGGAAATTTTACGTTTTTAGTTAGTAGCACTTAATATGAAAGTAATATGTTATAAATTCCTTTATAGAGTTTATAGTACTGGTAATCCAAAGTCCCTTTCCAAGGATAAAAATTAATATTTACGATACGATATTGGCATGATCCTGTAAATCTAAATTCAACAAGAATGTATCCTTGTCATTCTCTATACAGAATGAAAAGGAGAAGTTGATGATAAATTTAGTTTTAAGTTTAGAGAATCATGCCAGAATCGACACCATTTACGCGCGGGCTCATAAAAGGACCTATAAAGTTCAAACTGCTTTATAAAAAAGTTCAAACAAAGTAAAGTTTGTCGTAACTTATTGTGTAACTTGCAACAAGTTACGACAAACTACTTTGTGAATCTTATATAGTAAAAGTATCACTCGCGCGTTGCCTTTTCAAACTCAAAGCTTCAAATTTTAAAACTTTGTTTTACTTATGATCGATAAAATCTTATGTAACGCGAAGTTCGTGCGAGTCGTGTTCTACTCAACAGCATTAAAAACCATGTTAGTGAGAGTAGAATGTACAAAGATTATATCGAACCTTAAATTCTTTGTTCATGCAAGACACAACACAAAATAACTATACAAGAGAAACTTTAAAAATTATAAATAAAAAAAGTGCTTCGGCTTGGGATCGAACCCAGACCGCCCGTGTAGCAGGCGAGCTTTCTACCACCAAATCACCGACGGCTGTTGATAAAGTCTGAATTTTTAAACAATAATTTAAATGGTTTGATGTGAATGAAAATTGTGGTGATGTAACTTTAAAAATAGTAATTTTGCCACATTCTATGGAAGAAATTCTCTCCGGTTAGGATAGAGGTTTCAATTCAACTTGTTTTCCAGAAAGGAATCGGACGGAAAGAGCTACGTTAGATACCAAGTGATAGGTGCTAACACAGTGGCAGTGCCTACTCATTTTTACAAGGTAGTTGTTGGGGAAACGTCAGACGGCACCCTCGACATGGAGGCCTATGTGATGCCCAATCAGAAGATCCCCGACGAGACGCCCGTGTCCTCCTACATGGTAAATATGCTGGCAAAGAATAAACTTATTTTTTCAGGACTTCTTGAGGACAAATAAGCACATGTTCGGCCCATAGATAAGGGACTGAGCAATTCATACTTATATTACAAATGTGCCTGTCTGCGTGTTGCCTCTTCACGCTTAAATCATTGGTATGATTTAGGTGAAATTTGATATAGAGATACAATAAGTTCCGGGATAGGATAGTTTGTATCCCAGCAATATTTTTAAAGAGATAAGTGGTGTGGAAGTTTGGAAAGAAAAATATTTTTCCACGCAGACAAGCTACCTAGCCTAGTCATCATCATATCAGCCGTACGACGCTCACTGCTGACCAAAGGTTTGCCACAACGATCACAGCGGCTTCCCGTGACCTTAACAAATTCGTTGGTCCACCTGGAGGGGGCCTGCCCATGAGCGTCCTCCGGTGCAGGTAGCCATTTGTAAAGCTCTGCTTCAACGGCCATCAATTCTCCTTCGCTACATGGCCACCCATTGCCACTTATGCAAAGCAATTCTTCGAACAATTACGGTTACTTTAGTTCTCCTACGGATTTTCTTATTTCTGATTCTACTATCGCATTGGGAAATACCGAGCACAGCTCTCTTCATTGTTCGCTGAGTGACCTTGAGCCTTCATATGAGACTCGCAGTAAACCATCACGTTTCGCTATCTAAGAACATAATTGGCAACAAACACTGGTTAAAGACTTTTGTTCTGAGACAATAAGGTAATTTGGACGCGAAGATTTTGCGCAGCTTCGCGAACGCTGCCCATCCCAGCTGGATACGACGAGAGATCTCTTTCTCAAAGTTGGATTTACCTAACTGAACTATCTGACCCAGGTAAAAAGTTTAAACTATCTGATCCCAGATTTTCCTTTTTCAGATATATTGTTTGAAACCGTCATGGTCACTAACATTAAAGCTATTAACGGGATTGTTACCATGTACCTTGTTTTTTATGAGTGTCTGACATTTCAGCACTGTTGCATGCGCCATGCGCGGAGTAACTCAGTGATCATGGTAACAATCCCGTTAATAGCTATAATCTTGTTCAGATCTTCCAATATCTCAGCCATAAGTAGTAGATACATCATCGGCGAAAGGAAGGTGTGAACAGGGAAATACGGGCTGGATGACGGTGTCAGGTAAACATAAGGAAATCTACCCGAACACGGACGTACTCGACTGCGTTTATTTACACTTAGTCTTTTACCCGAATTCCATTGGCACTCGTATTCGGGCTATTGACCAAGTGTAATCACGCCATAAATATTGTTTCGGGTGCCCGAATTTAGGTAACGTCTTTCGTGCACCCGAATAACGACCAATTGTAATTGCGGTATGAGACCTGATATTTATCTATGATATTTAGGGGGCTATTATTCTATTCTGCCAGACCAATCGTAGGGGGCAAAAATTTTGTTAAATTACCCCTGTGAGAATAGACGTGCTCGTAGTAATTAAGTGCCTTTTTGATACAGCATCTTCAAATATATCTTGTAAATAGTGTACAGGAAGCCTTTAACAATTATTATAGAATTTCTTGTTATTTAATATTATTAAAGTTATTGTAGAGAATAAGTATAGGGTTCTGGTCTAAAGAAAGTTTTTTTTACTAGAGAAAATTCCACACAGACTAGGCAGCAGACGGGAGTCGAACCCGCACCCTTAGCTACCCGGGTGAATGCCATGCTGACCATTATGCTACAGTGGCCCTGATGGCCGTGTCAAAATTTTCTCTAGCCCTTCTCAGGCTGCAAGGCGGCGCCATCTCGTTCGCATCGTAGTTAACCCACAATGTCAAATAAGAAAACATTTGAAAGAAGAAATAGCAATTATAGTTATTTTTATTTTTCAAACATCTCTTATCTATTAGACAAGTCCGTCCGTCTGTGGTGCTGTTTCAGCGGCCAAACCATAAGAGATAGATAAAGAGATGTTTAAGTTATAAGTTAAGAATAGTCTGATAAGACTACAAACCGGATTTGAGTAACGTAGCACTTCCGGTTTTCGAGAAATCACGAATTTCAAACGAAACCACACAAAATCTCCGAAGTTCTTAATTTTTTTTTAAATCAGGTTTTGGTGAACATTTGGTTCACTGGTTTGCTAGTTAATCTATAATAGCAGATGTTTAAATCTAGAACATTTTTTTACTAGAGAAAATTCCACGCGGACCAAGCAGCAGACGGGAATCGAACCCGCGCCCTTCGCAATCTGGGCGAATTCACTGACCATTATAAATCTTTCGATTTTAGAAAAATCTTAAGAAGTAAACATTTAAGTTATCACAGTTAAATGCTTAAAAAAAATGTAATCCCTCGCCGAGTTTCTTGCCCGTTCTTCTTAGTACAATATCTCCACCGTAGATTTGCGGAGCAATGGCGTAGCTTTTCGACATTCACAAGTGCTTGTAACAGCCGAGACTGATCAAATTGAATTTAGTTTTTCTTTTATTAAATTGTTTAACAACATTCTCTACAAAATATGTAAGAATCAGCCCTCAGGACGTATATTAATGAGTAAAATTTTTACGTGCCTCTACCACCTGATACATACCTAGAAATAGGCCCACAAGCACAAGTTAACGAGTATACGTACATTGTATGCAATACTACTCTATCATCCTTAATTTGTCCATCAGAAAACAGTAAGGTCTGGTGGCCTCGGGATCTTGGTTAATTTCTTTTTTCAAATATTTCATACTTGTAACAGTTGTAACGGTATTCGTTTCACAGTGTGTTAAATATCTACAATGCGAAGAGGTGACCTGGAGGATTTTTTGAAAATCGTCAAAAATTTTATTCAAATATTTTATTTTCACAACATTTTTTTAAATAATTAACATATTGTTTTTAGCCTGCTCGCAACTTTAACACTTACAATTCGGTCGTTTTTTGAGAAAACTTAGTAGATCTTGCCGTGTATTTTTGTATTTAATTTTCAACAATTTAATTATGGTTTTCATATAATCGACTTTCTTTACCAAAGTCTTATTTGCTTTCTGTAATGTCTGTATTTTTTTAGATTTTCTATCTACTATTTTGCGAGCAATAAGTAACTGTTTGTCTAGAAATCTCTTTGTAGGCGTTTCCGGTACTGATATTAAATCTGCTAACGATGCAATAGGAGAAGTTAAAACATAAACAGGCTGTACTTGCTCTTGGTTGTTGGTAACTTTTGAGGTGATGACCAAACTAGAAGTCTCCGTTAGAGGCTGTAAAAGTAACTTTAATTTAATAAAATCATTTTTCTAGCATAATGTTAAAAATTTTCTAGTGAGGCGTAGGGAAGCGATAGCATTTCCGGAAATAATTACTAAACCGAATTGCAAGAAACAACAATGGAGTCGATTCCGGCACAATTCTCTTAAATGTAAAGTAAATTTAACATCAGTCTCTCCTTTTCATATCGTATAGAGAATTACAAGGATTCACTCTTATCAAATTTAAGTTTAGGTTTAGAAAATCATGCCAGAATCGACACCAGTGTATGTATAAGTACCTATGTATATATCAACATGCAATATTAGGGATAATGACGCGGCAAAGTAAACGAAATTCTATTTAGTCCGTCAGTTAGATTATTAAAAATTACCTACATATTTTTTTTCTGTCAATCATCCGAAAATTACAAAGATAAGTAAAGAGTAGGTACTAAAGATATGACGTCATGCGACGTTTCAAATCTCTGTTGGATGAAGAGAAAAAAGAAAGTCATCATCCCTATTTTGGTTCCTCATAATAATTGAATTGATAAATGGGAGACAGTGTAACAAGGTGTACACGCACAAAGATTTTTTCTGCCCTTTTCATATTTGTCTATGGTCCGTTTTGTAGTGTTTTATTAGTTTCGTATGCCGCCATATTAAGTAGCAAGCTGGCATCAGAAGTCAAATGGCCAGGTATAATACACAGATATTCCTTTATGTTACACCATCCCCTACTTGCCGCTACTGTAAAATAAAATCGACTTACCAACACTTCAATATCAGGCTCTGAGGGTTTAGTATTGGGCGTTTCGACTATTGCTGATTGTTTGTCATACGATGGAGGTTTAACCTGCTTTTCGAAAAACCCTTTATTAATAAAGTTTTCTGATTCAAAAACAAGTCCTTATACGAGTACTAACAACATAACAAATAAACGGAATAAAAAAAACGTGTTGGTTTTATGAAACCAAGATGGAAGTGAATGGACATTGCTCGTTCCCCATACATTGATTGCCCCAGAACTCACAGCGAGAAAATGCTAGTTTAGCTCGGAATCATTCTTGGACTTTAATTAGGCATTTGTTGAGATACGGACAACTTGAGGAACCGTGGCCTACTACAGAATGTATTAGATTTTGAGGTTATAATTATTATACTTAATCGTAAAAGATGTACACTTTATATATTCTGAATAGATTAAGTATTTACCTCTGTGTAAGCACTTAAATAATATGAATTAAATGAACATAAAATGCAATTAATAATAAAAATAATAAATGCTTATATTCATATTCATCCTAACACTCCTTTATTCTATCCTCTTTCATCCGCACACTCCTCTCTATCTTAAGGAGCGTTTCGCATTTCACTCTTTTAATCCTGTCCGTGATCTTCGGTCTTCTCATAACTTATCCTTAGTTATCCCACCCCACTCCACTGATTTCGTGGCCAAGTCATTTTATGTAAGAGCTGTTAAACTGTGGAACGCTTTGCCTTTGGATATTAAACGTGCACAGACGAGGGACTCCTTTACTATTAAAATTAAGGAATATTTCCTCAAGCTGGACTCTGCCTGATCTTTTTATCTGTTTATTACTATTTATTGTATTTTATAGCTTCCTTACATACTTACTATATTGTATAATACTATATTTATGTTTATTTATTTATTTTTACAATGCACTAGCCCGCTGATTCCACTATTCTTATGGTATGGCTTCATTTAGCCAAAGGTTGCCTGGTAGAGATTGCTACCTTAGCAATAAGGCCGCCTTTTGTGTTTTTGTTTCTGTGTTTTATGTTCTCTGTATTGTGTGTAATAGTGCAATAAAGAATATATTCATTCATTCATTCATTCATATTGGTTTATGAGTGTTGGCAGTTGGCACCTATGATACCTATACGTACGTGTTGTAATAATAGATTTCTTTTCAAATTAAATGTTCAAAGGCTTTCCATTTACCTGTTTCTATATTTTATTATCGGTAATTAGGTATGTACCTGGTTATTCATAATCATTATGATTTTCATAAAAATAAACAATAATTATATTATGGGATGGGAGTATAAACTATCTTTATATAATTTTAAAAAAATATCTTTTTATAAATACAATATAAACAGTAGTGATAAGTATTATTAACTAAGGTACCTAGTTCTATTCTTAGGTTTATAAATATCTATATTGCATTTATTAAGGGTATCTTAAAATGGAGTCGAATTGAATTAAAATAAAACACTTGTATTTGAAATAATTTTGTGAACCACATTGGTGGATGCTTTTGAATTTAGATGAGATAGTCTCTTAAGGCTCTAAAGATGATATGACAGTAAAAAAAGAAATGAAACCTACTACAAAAGGAATAAGCCATTTGAACATTGTTCTATAATCCAATCAAATAGCGCGAGCTTTCGCGACTTCCTGTTACACACTTCCGTCCCATTTCACGAAATCATTCCCACAATTGCAGGAAAGCGAGAGGAAAGATGTTACACATCAAAAAGTCCATCCTCGGCTGAGATTCGAACCAGTGCCGCCTTCGTTGCAGGAGAGCTTTCTATCACTGAACCACCGATGCTTGTTATAAGGCCTAAATTATTTAATAACAATTAAAAATGTAATGCGACATGAAATTGTGGCGATCGTCTTTTTTTAAGTGAACTTATTCCAATAAAAGTTTCACTTTGAAAAAGGCGCTCCATTAAAATATACCTACCGGTAATTTTGGAACTGCTGATCCAATCAATCGACGGCGAGAGGCGTGTCCGATCATATCCAATTCATGAAAGTGCTCCGAACATATTACTGAGTTCTTCGCTGGCTCATAAAATTCTTCTCCTCTTTCTTTGGCGACAATCGAGGCCCATTTTGCACACTTCAATGGGCTGCTAGGAAAGCTAAAAGTAAGTAGGTGGATATAAAATAAAAACTTTTCAATAAAGAAACTAATTTCGTGTAACAATTTTTTTGGGGGCAACAGAACAGCAACCCCAACAGAGGCCAAATACAGCTAAGAATCAACCAGGTGGTAGGAAGGTATACAAAAAGAAAAACATAAAAACCACTCCAGACGTTTGAGAGAAGAATTACACTAATAATATTTTTTACATCCTATCATTATACAAACATATAGTTTATGTTTTATTTTGACCTTGTATATCTACAATGCTCACAAATTACCCTACACTATCAAAGGTCTTACTCTTAGATTAAAACAAAAGGGAAGATACGGCACTCGCGGCTCAAAAGTGATTCGCTTACATTGTGGTGCATGATCACGCTTTAGTCACAATTAGACATTCAAACACGTTGCATGTGCACTCAATATAACATTTTTGCGTATTTTCTGTGTTATAAAGGTAAAACAATGCCTTTGATGCAAAAGCATCATTTATAAAAATAAAGAAAGAAATAGTTCAAAATCAAATAAAAAAATGCCTCGGCAACACTTTCTTTCCTAAAACTGTAAAAACATTTTTTTCTTAGAAATCACTGGTTGTCCTGAATGTTATTTACGTAATCGCCATTTTGTTATCAAGAAAAGGACAACAATACAGCTCAGCTGTGCGGACCCGGACACACTCGCGTTGTTCGCTCGCGCAGCGTTGAAGCGGACAGTTCTGTCTCGCTTGCTCGATTGAATGTTTATTTACAGATGTGCATGTGTGAGTTGTTTATGTAGTTGAGTCGGATTATATTTTATTTGATGCTAGTATAAGCGTACCGTATCTTCCCATTTTGTTTTAATCTAAGTACCCACTAGTCAGCGTTGCCAGACGTCCCGATTTTGGCGGGACATCCCGATTTTTAAATCAAAATTAAATGTCCCGCGCGGGACAGGCTCAATCCCGCTTTTCGGAAATAACTCGACCGTGCGTGCAGCGTACTAAGAAAGCGCGGGCGGGTGGCACAGACAAGCACGGACTGGCCACCTGCCCGGCGCGTAATGAAGAACTCAATCAAAGACTCAACTATTTAACGAAAGGGTAAATCTGATTTAAGATATCATATTTTTATTAAAATACATTTTCTATGGATGATTTTACTAGGTACCTATCTATTGTCACGTAAACGTAATTAAAACTCAAATAAAAAGATAAATATTCAAAAACTTTTGATTATATACGTTTTTTATACTATGTCCAGCTTTCGTCAAAGGAATCCCGCTTTTACACTCAAAAAGTTCCTAAATCCCGACTTAGCAAAAAAAAAACTGGCAACGTTGCCACTAGTAGAAATTCTTATGTTACGATATTAGCTTTCGGCTTACGGACGCTTGCTGCGAGCCCCTGCACTTAGGATTGGCAAACCTACTAAAGAATATAGTACCTACCCTTTTATTATGCATCAAATATTAAGGTAAGTGATACAAATAAGGCCTACATTCAGACACTCATATCATGATAAATTATTTATTGATTATAAATTATTTATTATTATTATTTTTTATTATTATTATTATTATTATTTTTTTATTTTATTTATTTATTATTATTATTATTTATTATTTATTAGAAGATGATTAATAAAAGCAAGACATTATTTTTTGGTTCATAAATTTTCAGTAATTAAGAAAACATATTACAATATATTATCAGAAATCACTTAAACTTAAAAAGAGCTAATCCTGGAACCTTAGCCTTAGGCTTTTTAAAAACATAGTAATTTAACAAAGCCTATGTAGGTACTTAAATTATAGGAATATTGTTATTAGAGGATAAATTTTATTAAAAATATGTAGGTATTTCCGAGCTTTTAATCAAGTGTTTTCATGGGATCCTTGAACAAAATTTCAAGTTATTTTACTAAATATTTTGCTTAAATTGCTAGTCAGATTTGAAGTCGCATAGTAACAAGAAATAAAGAATAATATAAAAAAAACACACCCATACAAACAAAATTAGCAAATTAACATATGTTCTCAAAAATATTATAATTAATAGATATATTCAATAAAAATAAACTATTACACTTGAATTGGCTACATTACTAGACGAGTAGTTGAAATTGTGCAATAAAAGAAGTGAAATTAAAGAAGAGACAAGATCAGCTGCATTTAAAGCTTTAATCTGTTATAAGTGTAATAAAGAAGGGCACAAGGCAAACGAGTGCAAAAATAATAATAAAAGTAATTTTAACATACAGCGAGGAAATTATAGAGTAAATAATATAGCACCGAATACTAATAAAGAATTAAATAGGAAAATTTCTCACATTTGTTGCATTGAATACAGATAGGATAGAATAGATAAACATTATTAATAGGTACAGAAAAAGAAAAGTTTATATTTATTAGATACTGGCCAAAGAAACTGAGCTGTAACTGCAAATGGACAATGGCGAAATATTTGTTGAAGTAAATCTTTAGCGTCTATAGATGCCATTTACAGAAATGTTCATAAAATAATCTCAAAAGATTTATTAAATAATTGAGGAGGGTTGTCTAAGTCTGGAATTAAAAACTTAAAAAAGGAAACACAATTGACTATTTTTTTATTTTGGCTTGGCATCATGCCTTTTGAGCCATTTATTTTAAGTGATTTTAGAGATCAAATCAACTTCAAGTATGTTGTTCGTATGTTTTGCATTGCTTTACGCTTAAACTATATTTAACTATCTATCAAAAATATCGGGAAACATTATTTTTCAATATTATATTGAAACCATAATAAATAATCTCCACAATACAAAAAGAGTATGGCGAGAATTCTAACACAAAAAAACTACATATAACTGTCACTGTCATGCTTGTCATCGAATTGTTGTTCGTTGTTTGTGCATGCGTATTGCAAAGATTTAAATCGTGGTAGTGTGTTTTTTCTGAGATATGTTTTTTATGTGACTTGGACTGCTTTTGGAATTTCGAGATCTTCCCCTGCGACTGTTGAGTAGTGCTTGCCTAAGACTAAGAATCTGATATTTTGGACGACTTCTTGCTGTGGATTTTGGACAAGATTTTGTCCCATAGTGTGGATTTTATTTCATAGTATCTACTATCTGTGATATTGTGATTAAAGATGTGGAATAAAAAATACATAAAAAAGTGTTTCATATTTAATTAATATCCCATTAGAACACTATTAGAAATATTTTTTTATGCTTTATTATTGCTGTGGGCATTTTCAAATTTTTAAGTTCTTCTTACAGCACAGCCATTGTATTCGAACTTAATAACTAACCCTTGTCTTTTAAGGATTAATAAGTATTTTGACGCGGTCGCTCAGAACCTACGCCCGCTGATCACACATTATAACAATCATTTTTTTTTCTACGGGACCGGTATACTTTTATAGTTCCGTTCCACGTTATTTTAATTTTGATTTAAAAATACTCTTGAAAATACTTTTATAATCCCTTTTTGTATTACTTGGTATGAAATAACCTCCAAAACTTCAAAGTAGAATATCTTTAAATCTAAACTTCCTACAATAAAATAAATAAGACGAATCAATTCGAGAATCTAAACTCTATATTTTAACATGTAATTCATTTACAGACGCAAAAAAATTTTTCAACAAAAATTTGTATGGGAGTTCGCCATTGTCCGCAGTAGAGTAAATTTTGAGTGCGAAACAACTGAGGGCCCACCAACTGATTTGATTTTCTTTATTTGTAGTCACTCAATAGAGCTCAATTTTTTGTAAAATAAAACCATTCATCAAAATTGTTTAAATTGGTCAGAAACAGTAATATGAAAATTAAGGCGTTTCGTCTGAGAGCCCACATTCGATGAGTCGTAGCGTTACAATTTTTAATATTCCTACTTAATCTTTATGTATAGGAAACCTACGTTTTGCAATGTGGCCTCTCGGAGGGTACGCACATTCGTCACGCAGCTGCGCAGGTGTGGTATTAAGCATAATATAAATGTTGGGCAATATGCACGGCCAACGTTGGCCAAATATTCTGTCAATACTGTTGTTTTATAAGAAATATGACATTATTTATTACTGTAAATATTAAATTAAAATATATTTTAAAAATACTTACCGAAAGTAAGATACTCCGACCGCTGTATTAGTTTTTCGGTAGTTATTTTTGCAAGTTTTGAATACGCATTGCGGCATAGTGACGTGTTTACTTTGGCTGTGTTCCAACCGAACTGATTCAAAATAAGACCTCTCGCTCGCCGCGAGTGAGGCGTTGTCTACCCAAACGTTTTTTTTGTATTCGCAGCAACAAGGCAGCAACCCGTAAGTTGCGTTCAGACTACGCTAATCTATTACGCTATAAAATACGGCACGTTTAGAAACCCACACATTTACGAGATGTGAATGTGTTATATGTTGATAAGGAGCGCGTGGACTATGAGCTGCCGCACTATTATTATCAAGTCGAAAATTTGTATGGATGTTTTTCACTCTTTCAAGCTAAAACGGCTTAACGGATTTCGGTGAAATTTTGCATAATAAAAGAAGTACTTTATTATCAAGATTGCACATAAAATACTTTTTATCCCCGAAATATGTTAGCTTCCTGTGGAATTGTAATTATAGGTAAATTGAATGAAGGGTTTTTTATAGTAAGCTATAATGATTAAATAAAGTATAGCTTCGTCTGAACGCACCTTTATCTTTGGTTTTTAGGGTTCCGTAGTCCTGACAGTGAATCCTTAAAGTTTCGTCATGTCCGTCTGTCTGTCCATCCCGGTTTTGCTTGGTGACCGTCAGCACCAGAGAGCTGTAATTTCGTGAAGATATGGACATCGATCACGCCGACAAATGCTAAGAATATTTTGAAACATATCGTTGAATAGGTTCTTTAAAATAATTATTTTTCGATATGTAGGGATCCGTTTGTGAAATATTGATCTTTAAAGTGCTAATTTTTGTTCGAGTAGGTCCCCCCCCCCCAATCTCCCCCCTCTAAAAGCTAAAACATTGGCTTGAAAAACCTGGAAATTTTCGTGATAATTGTGCTATTCATGAAATTTTAAGGAAAACTATAACGGTTAAGATATATTTGTAAGTTTATGAGTAATAGTCGGTCAACTTTGGTTAAAGATAATTTCTTACCTATTGAAAATTCCTTAGAAAAAAACATAGTTTAATATATATATACATAAATATAGTGTAAAATCTTGCATTGCAAAATCTAAAAAAAAACTACATTATACTTATTTAAATAACAACAATAATATATCATTAGTTCCACAACGCTACCACGATTACCAACGGCAGCGGCTCCTGAGTCGCGCTAACGTTACGTTTTTATAAAAAATGGTTGCCTGTAAAGTCGGTTTTACGGGCGAAGATTTTACGTGACAACGTCTTTTTCTCGGTAGAATATTTATTGATATGAATATAATTAAATTGCACAATAGGAACAAGGAATTGAATGAAAATAAGAATTGCACAAATTTTAACTATAGAAATATATTTTGTTTACTAAAACATTGTACATGTAAACTTAAACTTAACACGAGAGACTCATCGTAACGTTACCGAGCGTTACACTTTTTCATAAGTGACTCCCAGCCGCAACCTAATTTAAGACGTTGTCACGTCAAAAAGTATACAAGCACTTGAAAAGATCGGCTGTTATACCGCATCATTCCCTTCTCAGTGGATGATTGCTTTAGATCCTGGGTTCCGAACCTGGGGGTAATTACCCCTTCGGGGGGTAAATCAGCTATACTTCGGGGGTAACAAAGAACCTAATTATTTGGTCAAATCTAAATAATACTACTAAGTAGAACATGCGCTACTTCTTGCTAGTGAGCCCGCGGGGTGCTGAGTGTGAGAAGCGGGGCGAGATTATCTCCTGATAATGACATTAGTAGAGACGAAGATGTAGCGGCCAAATTGGAATTTCTTGGACTGATGATAACATTTTAAAGTCGAGGTAAAATCTGTTTCCCTAATAGGTTACAGGGGTAGCAGTATTGGAAAGGTTAGGAAATACTGCTTTAGATGAAGCTTTTAGGGCCCTTCTGGCCATATCATTCGTATTAAAACAAAACATCGAATTGATTTTCACTTGAATATGTAGTTTGACTTTGATTTGGGTATTTTAGTAGAGATACATAAATTGATATCAATTGATTTTTCTAATTTCCGATACAGATAATAAAGACCCCTGCTCAAATATGTTGTGGTAACTACAGGCAACTACGGAACCCTACACTGCGCGTGGCACGACACGCACTTGGCCGGTATTTTTATTGACTGAACCATGCCCCTTAGTAAAAAAACTGTGTCCTTTTTTGTCGTACTTACTACCTACTCGCAAGTAGAATTTTAGCCTACCTGATGATAAAAAAAAACATCGCATCATTTTCTCTATTCATAGGAATTCTGGATTAAAACGACTCAATCTCACCGAGTTTAGGTTCGTTTTAACTCCTTTGACGAGAATTCTGGTCATACATGTTATCCAAGATCGGAAGCCGCGAAAGAGGTGGCCGTGGGAACTGTTTAATATAACGACGTAATCCAATCGGTTTTTTTTCTATTTATTTATAAAAGACTTTTGTCCAAAAAGGACACTTCAGTCCTATCGAATCTTAATCTAAATACATAGCATACAGAAAGTTTATATTTAAGCTGAAAGATTTTTTGCGATGCTTTGATGATTACATATATAACATATGTACCTCACCATATCACATAGCAGCTTGGCTGCACCAGACATAGGTTGATCCAAAATAATTTGGAGGACCCCGATGTCTAGCTTAGTAAATTTTCGCAGGGATATAAGATCTTGTCGCTTTGGTTCGTTTTTGACACATTCCATAATCAAGGGTTCCACATACTCCACAATTTGGAGAATCAACATTTTTATGAGGTAATTTTGGGCTTCTTTAAATCGTCTCGAAAAGGCCCTTGTCCTTGACTAAGTTTATCCAGGGTCTTATGATGGAACCGGAAGGTGGTCATGGGAACTCGGTGATAAAACGACTCAATCTTATCGTGTTTGAAATGCCCTGACAAGTACTCTGGTTCAGGGGGGATATAATATGCGAAATGATTTAACTGATATTTTAATGTGACATCAAATAAAATGAGCTTAGAACTAGACTAGACATAGGTACGGGACATAGGAAAGAGAAAGAAGTTTAAAAGAAAAATCCGAGTAAATGGCTTAAGTACACTTGGTCAATAGCCCGAATTCGGGCACCCGAAGCAATATTTACATTAGAATACTAGCGTACTCATCTCCGATTATTTACACTTAGTATTTTATCCGAATTCCTTTGTCAATCGTATTCGGGCTAGCGACCAAGTGTAATGGAGCCATAAGTGTATCCTATTTTGGTGTTGATTCTTTTTGCAAGCAAAATGTTTGACACTCCTCGTCCTTGTTGCAGGTGCCACCAGAGACTATAGAACGTGCAGCTGGTTTATTATTCTTCGATAAAATTCATAGGAGTAAATTGAATAGAATAAATGGTAAAAAAATATGAATAAAAAGGTCATTTAATTGAGTTTCAATTTGAGACTGCCTAGATAATTTAAAGAAAGCGGACACTTACATTGATACGCGTTAAGATATTGCCAATCATTTATTTAAGTAAAAAATTAAATGAAATTATATGTGAAACCTATCTAGGCTCGGATTCGATTCAAGTGTGGTTGAATGGCATACCTAGTAATTAATTTTGAAGTAATGATGTGACTGTGTATACGTATTTAGTAATTTATGGAGATTTTGCAATTTAATTTTACCAATTATATATACTTGATGTGACTTTTTATATATATTATTATTATTATATTTGATTTGTTATTGACGATGATGTTATATGATTAAAATTATTTATAAATGTTATTGTCTTGTTTATTGAATTAAATATACCCCAATGATCTTAAGGATTGCGGCAGTTAGGGACTGTGCAGACTAGGCACTTTAGTTCGCCGGAATAAGATTGCTTACAACTGAATGGAGTAACGCACACGACGGATTAATGACCTGAGCAGACGTAAGACTTGTGCGCCGAAATAGATCGCTTTTTCTTAAAGATAGGTGCGACAAATGACTCCACCTAATGTTAAGTGACGGTGAAGTCCAGATGCCAAGATAGCTGATCCAGTAGTTCTACCTGCCACACCAGCCATCCTCACCCTGCCGGCCTGCATGTTGCTTCTTCACGCGTCTTTTAAAGGATCCCAGGATGTAAGAAGGAGGGAACACGTGAGCGGGCACAGCATTCCATTTATGGATAGTGCGACAAAGAAATGAGTCACCAAATTTCTTTGTACGCGTTGGAGTTGTGGCCACAGTTAGACGCCTTACAGCTGCATTGAGTAACGGACACTAGGAATTAAAAAGACCGCGTACAAAAGTCCCCCGAATAACCGACGACGGGGACCGGACTGGACAAAAGTACGGGGCTGTCTGTCCCAGAGAAAAATAGAACTCATGTGCCTAGGCGCAGTAACGCACACAGCGAACTTTAGTGCGCGTTGCACGCTCGACCCGAACGGATGGACCCAGTATTATCTTTTAAAAAGTCTTCTCTTTACAGTGGTGGTCACATAATTAAAGATACCCCCTAATTAACCATAAAAAACTTACTTATGGTACTAACATTAGCTAAAATTGGTATTTAATCCGATTTAATTATTATTAAACCATACACGACGTTGCATTCTTACAATGTGGGACAAAAATTAGTTGTGTTTGTTAGTAGTTTAGACACAGCTCACTATGGGAACGTAACACAAACTTTTTTAACGTATTTTTAGCTGGCCAGCTAATTAAAGACACTCGAGGCAGTGAGCAGTGTCTAAACTTCTAAAGAACACAATTATTTTTTGTCCCACATTGTAAGAATACAACATCGTCTATAGTTTAATAACAGTTACACTAGATTAAATACCAATTTTAGCTAATTTTAGTACCATAAGTAAGATATTTGTGGTCAATTAAGGAGTGTCTTTAATTATGTGGCCATCACTGTATATGAATATTTTTTAAGTTTTTCATTCCTAGGTAGTGTTGTATTAAATCGGTACATGAGGTCAAATCAATCGGGATTTAGGGTTGCAGATCGGGACAGTAAACATAAAAGGAGGGGTTTTTAAGTCTGGGTTTAATTTATTGCGTTTTAAACTACTAGTGCAAGTATAGTATTATATTAATTACATTTTTTGATTAATCGGGACATTTAGCGACCCGATCAGGTACAAAGCGGGACGCGTCGCCAGACCCCTGAAAATCGGGATACCTGGCAACTACTCCTAGGTGTCTTCTCTTTTTATTTTGAACATCATGTTAATTACAACACAACGTAATCTGAGAATATTTGCTTTCATAGTGCGCTTCTCTAAATTTTTTGGTAACAAATATTCGTGCAACGTGGGCATTGAGTCTGTGGTAAGTTCAGTTTTTTCGCGGTTCAGGGATTTTTGTCTTTCACGGACAAAAGTCCCTTGTCTTCGTAGGCCATTAAGAAACTTGTGTTTAAAGTAGCAGTAGTATCATATTGTGTATGTCCCATCGTAGTTGTCGCTTTAGTATTAAAGTGGTGTCGATTCTACCATGATTTTCTAAACCTAAACTTAAATTTGACAATAGTGTATCCTTGTCGTTCTCTATACGGAATGAAAAGGAGAGACTGATGTTTAATTTAGTTTTAAGTTTAGAGAATCATGCCCGTATCGAAACCATTATGTCCCTACCTACTAATATCCTATCTGTCTGTTATATAAATACAGTACTGTACCAACTTAGTTTTTACTTAGTAAATCACAACATTCATGTGTGCTAATAAGGATGGCAAGAACTTTAATGAAAATTACAAGCTTAATATAAAGATAGCAATCGCAGGCAACAAACTGAATTTACCTGGTAAATTTTACATAAAAGCTCTTAAAATAAATTATCCTGATATCCAAAGAAAGCTTTCAAACATGCAAATACTGCAACCCCTAATTGAAATAATGCTTACAAAATTGATTGTTAAACAGTTTTCAATATAAATGTTATACTTTATGTCCCGAAAAAAAAATAGAGGGTCCGTACACTTCGAAAAAAAGGTTAAGTGAAATATTAAGTTTGTATAAAACGAGTGTATATTAAAGTATGTATTAACATGACGTTTCATATCAGTTACAATATATATATTACATAGACAGTAGGTACAGAAAGATTAGTCGTCTTCCTCGTCGGAGGCGCCATTCTGTTGGGGCTCGTCCACTCCGGCGTCGCCCATACCTGCAAAGAAACGAGTATATAATAGTTATATAAGTTATTTACGGGATTGTTACCGTGTACCTTGTTTTTAGCGAGTTTCCGATATTTCGGTACTGTTGCAAGCGCTATGATCACGGAGTAACTGGTAACAATCCCGTAAATAACTTATATTACTATAATGTTAGTGACCATGAAAGTTTAAAACAATATATATAATAGTAGTTTACATACACTAATGTCGAAATACTTATTCGAATTACAAATTTACTTTATAAACGCGACATAAGACGTACTTTATAAACGCACATACATAAAATTAAAAATAAAAGTCATAATGGTACCCCTAGCACGAACCAATATCGAATTCGTAGCGTTTGGGAGTCCGAAATGACATTGTCAAATGTGTACTGATTTTTAGTTCTCGTTACGTACTTTGTGCCGCTGCTGTTCCAAGTTACCATACATAATTTGACATTGACATTTCGGTTCGCAAACTATTCGAATTCGATAATGGTTCGTGCTAGGGGTACTGTACTGCTAGCTGTATCATAAAATAAAATTTTAATCATTATACTACAATTTTATTCTTTAATTCAAGGCTATGATATTTGGCTGAATGTAAAATAAGAGGCGTACGCATTTGAAACTGAGCGCTTCCCATACAATTTTCTACCAATCGTGTTTTGTTTTCGGGGTTTCAGAAAAGTATCTCATAACACAAGTTTACAATGCTTACTTTGGGGCTGGGCTAACTGGTGTGTGTGTTGATAATATAAAAAAAAACTCTTGCGCTTGTGAGTACCAGAGGCACAATGTGTACTTAATCAGAATTACCTTGGTCCTCGTCCTCCTCGGCGGAGTCTCCCGCCACCTCTGCGTTCTCGGCCTCCGCGCGCTCCATCTGTCTCGCCAGCTCCGCTTCGTCGGTAGCCGTCACCACTTTAGGCTATAATCCATTAACAACCACAATTAATAGTAATATATGATACTAGATGTCCCAGCGAACTTCGTAGCGCCATAAAAAAATAGGGGTTGGTGGTAGAAGGATGAAATGAGGAAGAAAATTAAGGGTTGTATGTATTTTTGTATGATGTAACATAAAAAAATAAAAGCAAATAATTTTATCTAAAAAAATGTTAAGTGTGGACCATCCTTAACATTTAGGGATGAAAAATAGATGTTATCCGATTCTCAGACCTACTGAAAATGCATATAAAATTTCACGAAAATCGGTTGAGCCGTTTCGGAGTAATTCAATTACGCACACCGTGACACGAGAATTTTATATATTAGATTAGTGCGGTAAGTTGGTTATTACAAACTAGTAGACGAAAAGTCGAGGGCTTACCATAGTCACGAGTTTGTAAATACCTATTGCGCAATAATGTCATACAGCATTTTTCAACATATTTGCGAGAAAACAGTACTTATATCTAATTTAAGTAATGTAGCAAACTTTTTCAAATAATAAAATGACGCGCATTTCCATCGCCACGTGCGGGTCGTGTCACGCGGGTCTATTTAGTGTTAGACAAAAGTATAGATTAAAATCGCTACAAAGGAGGTTCGTCGATCAAAATTAAAAAAAAAACCGTAACAATACACACGGCGCCATGTATGGGTGCGTGCGGTAAAATGTTTTAACGCCCGTAATTTGTAGTAGTAAATGCATTTTTGAGAAAATATATTGAAAACACCGTGTTTGTTTGTTTGGTTAAATGCGCTAATCAGAAAATTCTGGTCTGATTTGAAAAAATCTTTCTAACTTGGATAGAGCATTTATCGAGGAAGGCTAATAGGCTATATAAGAAACTCTACGATTAATAGGAGCACAGCATCAATAAAAATGATGCAAAAACAGGGAAATATATAACATTTGAGAGCTTCCGTTGCGTGAGCTGTGTAAACAGTAAAAGTTACATAAAAATTCATGTATGATGGAATTATTCCCCTTTAAAAGTTCTAGAATAGAATCCGCTACACCATAATATATGTCTATCTTTTAAGGGAGGGAGACCCACTATATAAGATTATATAGTATATGTATACCGCCATCTGTATATTGAAGACTCTGCAAGCAGCGAGGATGGTATCTTTAATTTTATCTATCGCATCTTGTAATGTTTTTCCCTCAAATAAATGCGGATGAAACCACAAGGCACTTCTTGTGCTTAATAAAAGTATAAGACGAAATGAGTCGTTAAACAACAAGAAAATGACTGATTTTAGTTATTGTATTACAGATTGAATTGGTTGTGATATATTGATTAGAGATAAGCGGCCTACTGACATCCCTGCCGCAGGGACAATCTAGGGTGCACGGCGGTCGGGGCAACATTGGCTTGTCTCTACACAAATACCTGCTAATTAGTGTTCGGGGGTATGTTGAGCTAAGCACACGCGTTGATGATGGTACCAGTGTTATCAAAAAATCAGAAGATCGGTGGCCTTGGCTTTTTCTATGGTGTAGCGCAAAAAAGAAAATACGATTTAGAAAATTGCCCCTGCTTGTATGTGTGTAGGACACATCACAATTATGGAGGCAATTAAGGCTCATCCCCACTCTTACACCCTAGATTGCCTCTGCGGCAGGGATGTCAGTAGCCCGCTATAGGAATTAGAAATGGTCAACCTATACTTATGGCTATTACAAGTGCAGGGCAGACAGTAAATATACTTGCATAAGAAAATCATTCTTGTTGTGAAACATTAAAAGTGACAAATAAGTGTTTTAATATTTTCTACCACCAAAGGCTTGATTGTCAACTTTGTAGACTCATGTTACTAAAAATTTTCTTCAATAATAAACATACCGCCATCTGTATATTGAAGACTCCGCCAGCAGCGAGGATGGTATCTTTAATTTTATCTATCGCATCTTGTAATGTTTTTAGACCATCTGCTTTCTCTGGTGTTGATGTTGTCATTACTGTTGAGTAAAAATAATAAAAGGGTAAAAGTTTTCTATGTTGCTTCTTTTAATTTTAGGAAATAAGTTCAGACTCTTTCTTTATCTCTATCAAACTCCAAACATAAAACAGCTAAAGTGGTTGGAGCAAGTTCAAGTTTGGTATCAAACATAAACTTTGAAAAGCAATATAAATAATAATGTAATGGGCATGATCCTACCATATAAAGGTGGAGCTATCAGATTTATTTTAATTGGCATTTCCATAGTTGAAAATTCAAGACCGGATTTTAGAGCTGCCCTCACTGCATCAATGCCTTCGTAACCATAGCAAGCGCATTCAATATCTGCCCTGATTTTCACTGCCTGCGATGTGAGTTTCCTCTTGATGTTAGCCAATAGAACCTCCTTGGTTTTTTCATCCAGACCTAGATCATTTAGTACTGATGGGTCACTGTAAAATAATTAAAAGATGATTATTCTATGGTTTAATATTATCAGAAGCCCAAGCTTAAACTTTGACAACTTCATAATTGTATAGCATTGTCAAAGTTTCTGCAAAAGATAAGGAGTGTCCCTACTAGACTTAAGAACAAACTGGCTTCTTCCATACAATGAATGATTTTAAATTATGATAGGATTACAGATCTGTTAAAAGTTTGTGTTTGGGCCTCAGAACTGTGTACCATTGGGCTATCACAGTATAAATATAATAGAATCACAGTATATAACAACAAAGAAGTACACATATATCTGGATATCTTTACTGTGAAATAACAGTTAAGAAAACTAGAAATTACAGCTAAAGATGGGAAGCCCATAAAAGCCATTTGGTATATAAAGTTGGTACTAATAACAGTATGCAACTTACAAAAGACCAATTTAGCTTCTATCAAAAGCTACATGAGATGATACATCATTGGATGCGCTATGTCTCAATTTTAGAAAGACTTTTAACAATGATGGCTATAGGGCTTATTGTGAATGAATGTGATAAATTGAGAGAAAAAATAAATATAATTAGTTCTTGTGGATGATAATGAAAGTGTATCATCAAAACATGGTAAAAAGAAGATTAAAATGATAATATTAACAGTGGAAGGCAAAATCGCTTCGAAAATGAGATACATATTCATACTTTTCATCAGACATAAAGAATCATACTTTTTTCTGTGTTCATCTGTATATTTGGTGAAGATTTGGATCCTTTTTTGGCACTTAAGCGACTCATTTTTTTGTTCACAATGCTGAAGCAACATAAATTTTGTTGCATTTTGAACCAATAGCACTGTGATTTATGATTTGATGTTTGCTTGACAAAAAATGTATGACGGGCTGAGTGATTTTTGCTTAAGCGACATCACACACAAAACCTTTAGGAAATCAACAAAAGCTTATGATGTTTTATTGACGTTTAGCAGTCTTTAATGGAGATGGGCTGGGCATATGATAAGAGGTGAAAAAAATGGAACAAGCCTGTAACCTTATGGTACCCAAGAGAGGGAAAAAGAAGGAAAGGGAAACTACTCAAGAGATGGGAGGACAACATAGTTAAGCTAGTGGGGAAAACTTGGACAAGGCTGGTTAGGGAGAGGGAATAGTGGAAAGAGTTGGAGGAGGCCTTTGCCAAAAGGCCAGCCAGAGGTGATCTCTGAATAAAGGCTATAAATAAATAAAATAATTAACTAAGAAAATGTTCTTTTATAAATATGTTTTTCTTTGCATGGCGCTACTTCTAATGAGAAGTAGCGCCATACAAAGAAAAACATATTTGTAAATTTACAATGAGTTATGTTTTTTTTTGTAAAAAATCTTTGATCATCCCTTCTGTAAAGTTACTAAAGTGGCATTTAAGTGATTTTGCTTTTCCACTATAGATATCATATTGCTATAGTATGACCTATCTCATGGTTGACAACACCTTGATGTAGGTCAACCCCATTATTGTTGTTGTGTACACCCTTTTTTTGTTAAAGTTTTTTAATTTAAATTATTTCAATAAATATACCAACATTGCAGCCTGTTTGAAGAAATCATATGCAGAAGCCTTTTTTTTATACTTTTCTTCGAAATGCCAGGCAGTTTTTTTGTAGAGCTCTTCTAGTTGTTCGGAGCTCTCATAATGCAGGAGTTCCGCAACATGCCGAAGGATAGAGTTAACCGCTTTCGCTTTTGCATATCTCTCTGTGCATTTCTCAATGTCTTCTGCAGATACACGACGTTTCGATAAATCTATATAACCTGTAAATAGAATGTAAACATAACTACAATAAGGACCAAAATTAATTTCTTCTGTATATTCTCATGGTAGACCACATCATATATCATGAAACTGTATTGGAAACATATTAAATGATTATTCTTTCATTGTTCCCTTAGCTAGTACGACCAACTGGAGGCTGCTGTCAAAAGTGTGTTGTTTTAAAATCTTTGGTAAAAGGTATTCAAAAGCCCACTTATGACTACTACACACACTTATTAAAGTTATGCCTGAAATAAAGTCTCTTTGCTGTCTACAGTCTACACTGTCTGTTAAGTACCAACTTAGATTGGACAAAATCAAAAACATAAATTAATGTTACCTTTTTCTTTATCCACTCTTATCACGACAACTGGTTCAGTTTTCCCAACTCTGATCAGTTTGTTGATGGACCTAATTCGCCTTCTGGACAACTCAGAAAGCAATATCATGCCTTCGATATTGTTGTATTCTAAGAGATGGACGTACGCGCCCATCTCTGCTATTGATCTTACGTTAACCATCACTACATCTTCCACTTCAGGATATTTCTCCTGGTAAAATCTACAGGACAGTGGCATCTGAAAATTTCGTTCATTATAACCTCCACGACACGAAAAAGTTAAATCACAAAGCTGGAAATACTTGTATATATCGTATTATTTACCTTGTTTCTATTGTTATAATCGGTTTGATAAATTAATATTTAATTTTTATCAGAAATTATGAATAATTTTGTTTCGTTCACGTTGACGAACGACGACAAGAACAATCATCAACTCAAAACGTTTCGTTACAGGCGTACATACATAAGTGATGCAATAATTAGGGAAGCGTTTTGTTAGCTAATTTTGTTGCTATAATTTTCATGCCGGCACTTCATTATGGCTATTCGTATTTGCTATTTGTAAACTTAACATTTGTGTCGATTCTGACTGATTCTAGAGAATAAAGCCAGAATCTTTAGTTTTTATTTTATTGTTAAGCATTTAACTGCTAGATGATTAAATCTAAAGAAAAGTTTTAATAGAAAAAAATCCACGCGGATCAGGCAGCAGACGGGACTCGAACCCGCGGGTTCGAGTCCCGGATAGCCGGGCGAATGCAATGACCAATTATGCTACCGCGCGCCCTGATGGCCGCGTCGAAATTTTTCTATCCTTAAGCTGCAAGGCAACGCCATCTATTCGCATTGTAGGTAACCCACAATGTCAAATGAATACTTTTTCAAGTATTAAACATTTGAAAGAAGAAATAGTATTTATAGTTATGTTTTTATTTTATTTTACAGCATTTAACTGCTAGATGTTTAAATCTAAAGAAAAGTTATAATAGAAAAAAAATGCTAGCAGAATCTTTAGGTTTAGAAAGCTAAAGTTAAATCTGACATTATATGTATCCATGTCATGTATCCATGTCATTCTTTATACAGAATGAAAAGGAGAGACTGATGTTAAATTTAGTTTTACGTTTAAAGGATCATGCCGGCCCCACTATTGGTTCTTATAATTTTATCCTTTAAAGAAGGAGAGACTATTCTCTCCTTCTCACTCTATTTATAGATAAGACAACTTACTGTCAAAATGACAAATAGCAAACACGAGATTTATCTGAGTAGAAAGATAAACAAAATTTTAAAGAACTGTATTTTATTAATTTTCATAATTTAATTATAATAAAAGCTCATCGCCAGATTAAGATAGTTGTCTTTATAAATTAAAACGTTAGAGAATCGGTGTTCACGAATTTAAGAGTGAATATGGGGAATACCACCATTTGTTTCCCCAATTAAAAGTGGATAGAAAACGTTTCTTCCAATATTTTAGGATGGAAGTGGAAACGTTCTAACTACTACATTTAAAAAAAAATGAACCTCACATGATGAAGAATTAACATCAGTCTCTCCTTTTCATTCTGTATAGAGAATGGCAATGATGCATTGTTGTCAAATTTAGCTAGGCAGCTAGCTAGGCTACTAGCTAGGCAACCAGCTAGGCTACTAGCTAGGCTTAGCCGTTTAGCAGTTTGCCTAGCTTGCGACCTAACTAGCTGTGTAGCTAGCTGCTATGCTGGTTGCTTAGCTAGCTTTGTAACTTGCTGTTTAGCTGGTTGCCAAGCTAGCTGCCCAGCTAGTTGCTAAGCTGGTTGCTTAATCTAGCTGCGTAGCTTAGTTTGACTTGACTTAGGTAAATAGCTAGCTGCTTAGCTTGCCACTTAGCTGGCTGCGAAGCTAGCTGTGTAGCTAGCTGCTTAGCTAGTTGCCTAGATAGTTGCCTAGCCATGTAGCCAGATGCTTAGCCAGTTGCACAGTTAGCTGTGTGACTTAGCTAGTTGAGGTAGTTGCCCAGCTAGTTACCAAGCTGGTTGCTTATCTTGACTTAGGTAATTAGCTAGTAAGGCAGCTAGCGTAGTTGCTTAGCTTGCCACTTAGCTGGCTTCCACGCTAGCTGTGTAGCTAGGTGCTTAGCTAGTTGCCTAGCTAGCTGCCTAGCTAGTTGCCTAGCTAGCTGCCTAGCTAGTTACCTAGCTAGTACACAGCTAGCTTGACAACTAGCTCAACAGCTAGCTAGGTCACTAGATAAGCAGCTAGCTACACAGCTAGCTTGGAAGCCAGCTAAGTGGCAAGCTAGGCAACTACCTCGCAACTAGCTAAGCAACACAGCTAACTATGCAACTAGCTAAACATCTGGCTACACATTTAGCTAGGAAACTAGCTAGGCTACAATCTAGGCAGCTAGCTAGGCTACTAGCTAGGCAACCAGCTAGGCTACTAGCTAGGCTTAGCCGCTTAGCAGTTTGCCTAGCTTGCGACCTAACTAGCTGTGTAGCTAGTTAGCTTTGTAGCTTGCTACTTAGCTGGTGCCAAGCTAGCTGCCCAGCTAGTTGCCAAGCTGGTTGCCTAATCCAGCTGCGTAGCTTAGTTTGACTTAGGTAAATAGCTAGCTGCGTAGCTTGCCACTTAGCTGCCTGCCAAGCTAGCTGTGTAGCTAGCTGCTCAGCTAGTTGCTAGCTGCTTAGCTAGTTGCCAAGCCCAGCTAGTTACCAAGCTGGTTGCTTATCTAGCTGCGTAGCTTAGTTTGATTTGACTTAGGTAACTAGCTAGTTAGGCAGCTAGCGTAGTTGCTTAGCTTGCCACTTAGCTGGCTTCCACGCTAGTTACCTAGCTAGCTGCCTAGCTAGTAGCCTAGCTAGCTTCCTAGATTGTTGCCTAGCTAGTTGCCTAGCTAGCTGTGTAGCCAGATGTTTAGCTAGTTGCATAGTTAGCTGTGTTGCTTAGCTAGTTGCCGAGGTAGTTCCCGCTTAGCAGGTTGCCTAGCTAGCTGTGTAGCTTGCCACTTAGCTGGCTGACAAGCTAGCTGTGTAGCTAGATGCTGAGCTAGTTGCCCAGCTACCTACCTAGCTAGCTGCCTAAGTCAAGTCAAAGTACACAGCACTAGATAAGCAACTAGCTTGGCAACTAGCTGGGCAGCTAGCTTGGCAACCTAGATAAGCAGCTAGCTACACAGCTAGCGTGGAAGCTAGCTAAGTGGCAAGCTAAGCAACTACGCTAGCTGCCTAACTGGCTAGTTACCTAAGTCAAGTCAAACTAAGCTACGCAGCTAGATAAGCAACCAGCTCAGCAGCAAGCTACAAAGCTAGCTAGGCAACCAGCTAAGCAGCAAGCTACAAAGCTAGCCAAGCAACTAGCTAAGCAACTAGCTAAGCAACCAGCTTAGCGGCTAGCTACACAGCTAGTTAGGTTGCAAGCTAGGCAAACTGCTAAGCGGCTAAGCCTTTTGTTTTGCTTAGGTAATTACCACGGCAACTAACTAAGCATCTGGCTACACAGCGAGCTAGGCAGCTAGCTAGGTTACTAAGCTAAGCAGCCAGCTACACAGCTAGCTAGGTCGCAAGCTGGGCAACCTGCTAAGCGGTAAGCTAGGCAACTACCTCGGCAACTAGCTAAGCAGCTAGCCACACAGCTAACTATTCAACTAGCTAAGCATCTGGCTACACAGCTAGCTGCTAGGCAGCTAGCTCGTTACGTACGTAATTGTCATTACATAAACTTATCATTATGATAATGAAGAATGAATAATGAAGAAGACTTGATTAACATCATTATGATGATGGAGAAGACTTGGTATACCAAGTATATATATGTAGGTACTATATGTACTAAAATACTGCTTAATTATACTTCAATTAAAAACTGAAATGAAAAAAAACAAGTCCAGTAGTCTATAATTCTGTTAATAAGGAACAAAGCTACTTTAACAGTCGGGACCCATTAGATTTTCAAGAATACATAATATTTTTCAATAATGGGTCGCGACTGTTAAAGTAGCTTTGTTCCTTATTAACAGAATTATAGACGACTGGACTTGTTTTTTTCTTTTCAGTTTTTAATTGAAGTATAATTAAGCAGTCGGGTCTTTTGATTTTTTAAATTTACCTTTTTTTATTTAACACTTTTTAGCTAGTTTTTTATTAGTATTTTAAGACGGTTTAGACCGTAGTCTTGTTACTTCAGTAAGGGAATTAAGTAATATTGCGGAAATTATTGAGTACCTTGCGGTGGTCTAATAAATTGATTTATTAAGACATATAGAGACTTTACCAGCGGGGTCAAGGCTACAGATGGGCCTCAATTTTTGAAAAAATGTGTGAAGTCAAATCAAGTCGTTACATAAATATCTAATGTACGAGTATATAAATTTTATAGTAAACTAGCACTTATTCAAAAAGTCATCTTCTGTTTTTTGTTCTTTTTAGTAGTTTAGCAGTAAATATAAAATTCATTTACTTTTATTCGTCGACTATTTAAAATTGGCAGTGGCTGCATTGTCATGTTTGTGATATACACAAATGCAGTGTCATATCCTAGTCTCATAATTTGATATACCTATATAATTCACAGAAACCCAATATGTAGATGCCAGAAGTTAACTTCAAATGTTGTTAATCACCCTATATACAATACCAATCAATGACGTTTATGTCGCAGGTTGAAGAAAGCAGTAATTCCCGTCTGTTGTTTTGGACAATGGTGGCAACTGCCTTAGATCGCTAAATTAAACAATTTTGTTATCACCAAAGCAAAATTTATAATAATTGATTAAACTAAAGGCGCATAATAAAATTTTCATAACGTTAGGTAGAGCACCATAGCAATCTCATTTATTATCAATTTATAGTTTTCTTGGTAGTTTTTTTTTAAAGCGTTCACATATAACAGGTCGAAGACTTTGTGTGATCGACCCTTTTTTATTGGTAGTGTAAAACTCGAATGAAGAGTACTTCCACCTCTCAAGCGTGCTGCTACCAGCCTAGTAGGTATTGCAAATAGTGCAATCATAGCAATCACTTTCCAAATATTTTTTTAGTATAAAAAAATACCGAATAACGTATCACTGTTAAGCACAAATGCTAAGTAACTTTTACAAATATAATAAAATAAACCTATTACTTACTTTATTTTTAAATCTTTTTCATCAATTAAATACTATTATCCTAACTATCTATATTATTAATAAATATATTTGTAATAAATTATCTGTCAAACTACTGAACCGGTTTCAAATATTAATTCATCATAAGGTAGCTATATTATTTATTATTACATTTTTCTTTATTTAAATACATTTTATCCGAGTGACATAGGCTATATGTTATCCCGATAAAATAAATTCCGCCCGTACAATGCCCGGGTGGATCACTATTAAGTATAATATAATATTGTACATGCGAAAGTGAGTTTGTTTGTTGCGCTTTTGTGCCTTAATAGTTAAATCGATTATAATGAATTCCCCTATAGAAGTAGA